AAGCGCCCAAACTCATCCGCCATGGCGTCAGCGGCGCCGCCCCCGCGCGTCTCGGCGTCGCGCACTAGCTGCGCCGCGCCGCGCCGCGCCGCGCCCCCTCCCCATGCGGGGCCGCGGGCGGGCAACTCTCCGCTCCGCTGAATGCGCGCGTACGTGCCTACCTCCGCATACACAGCTTCGCGAGGGCGGGGCTCGGCCCTATCATAAACTCGGCCGCACGTGGATGTCATTGATGTTCCGGGCGCGAACGTCAGCAATGCGCAACGGGCCCCGTGTTTCGTATTCGGCGGCTCGCAGGTCCCCCGAATAGACGGCTTTTGGTGGCCGCCTTTTTTGCCCCTTTGTTTCCGCCGTCTTTTCCTTTCAGACGGCCGGCCCGCGGCGCGGAGGCACAAGTGGAAGGCTGTGGTTTGCTCCCCCGTATACATCGCTCCACGAGCTTGTTCCCAAGAAATGCGCATGGGCACTGCGTTCTACTCTCATGCGCCAGTGGACGCTAGGTATGTCCACACACCAGTCGGGTTGAAGTTATATTCTATTCCTCCAGTGCTAGCTAGACGTGCAGGTGAACAACAAAGATGAAAGAAGAAGAAAAACGGGTTTAAGAAATATGCCACGCGCATCTTTGTCGCATGGTGTAAAATAATTCGAAGAGTTAGCAATGCATCAGTGCTGTGCGAAGCCACGCGCTGTCCGTGTGCCGTGGCATAGGACTGTACGGTACAACTGCATTTGCGCGCGCTCAGGCTAATCATCCGGCCCGCGGGAGGAGAGACACTGCAGTGCTGTACCATTGGAAGGGTACTTGTACGTTGACACTCGCGGGCTCGCGGTGGGGCATGCTTCGCTGCGAAGTATTCGCTGCGAAGCATGGCCGTCTTGCTCATCGTTGAGGGCGAGGACCTCTTTCCGGGCCTATGCCGATGTCCTCATCGTCTGCGCGTTGTCCAAGCGCAAGCACGCAAAAGGTGGATGTCTTCTCTCCCTCTCTGGCATTCTTCTCTCTGGCATTCTTCTCTCTGGCATTCTTCTCTCTGCGCCGCTCGCTCTCAGTTCCTTGCCATCGGCATCGGCATAAGGCTCCCCCATTAGAAAATAACGCCTTCCCCGACTGTTTAGAAGGCACCATGGTCGGATTGAGGGTTTGTACGCACGGTGAATGCCTGCTGAGTGCCGTCCGCACCTGAGGGGTTTAGCGTTTATCACTCTAGGAGTGTACGCCGATGGAACAGCGAGCATGCAAGTAGGCGGGCGGAGAGCACACGTTTTCTTGTCTATGTTGCTATGTTGCTTGCGGAAGGCATTCTGGCGTGCATACAGAAAAACCCGAAATTCCCACAACCCCCTAATCCCCTTACACACCCATAAACATTTCGCGTTACTTACAGTACATCTCCGCAGGAATAGTGCACATACAGTACCCTTGGTACTGTACTGTAAGGGTACGGTATATCGAATTACTGTACGCTCGCACGTTTGCCCCGTAATTAGCCCAGCCCCTCTGGCACGCAGTTTTCATGGGAGGGGTCCGATTCTCGCCCTGCAAAAGCCGCTCACGCTCACGCTCACGCTCACAGCACTCTCCCTTCAACAAACAAAAGAAAAGAAAAGCGCCTGTTAGGACTGGCCCTGAGCTGTGAAGTTGTCAAGTTTTCCCCTTCTGCCCTTAAAGGGGCAGTACCCTCCGCCGTCCCTACAGGTGCAGGTGTACACGTATACACACACATGTACACGTACGCGTAATGACAAGCGCGACACTGTGGCACCAGCATGGATTTCGACCCATGGATTTGTGATGCAATGAGATGCGAAAGAGATACCCCCTTGGTAATGCCTCTGTTTGGAGCTGAAACGCTCCAGTCCTTCGAGGAACCCGTCCTTCGAGTATCTGTTGCGCTGTTGGGAGAGAATCATATTTTCCCATTTCTTGTTTGGAACGACCCTGAAAGGCAACACTTGTCATTCGCCACTCGTGCGCGATTTCTGTACCGTTTCGCTGTATACCGTGTACCTTTGTACGAGTAGTCGCTCGCAACCCGAAATACTCGGCCCTTTTTTCACCTACTCACAGGAAACACGGCTGTTCACAACTCACATGAGTTTGACCGGAAAGAGCCGCTTCAGTTAGCATTGCTCATTTGCTGGTTGGAGCCACTACGACGAAACGACGAAACGACAAAACGGCCATTGAGTGACCTCGACGTTTGGGCAGGGATTAGCATATTAGGATAGTAAGACAGCAGTGGGTCGGTGCGTCGATCACGTTACTCACAACATAGACGGGATGATATTTTATTCATGTGTTCACTCACCGGACTCAATTCTCCAGCATCTCTCTCTCTTTCTCTCTCTCTCTCTCTCCCTCCCCCCCCTCTCTCTTGTCTGCGTCTCTACAATTCAGTTTCTGCATCACCGTGTGGTCACATTGCGTGCCTCTTTTCCCCATCTACACATAACATAGAAGAGAGTGAATCCTCCTAGAATCTCATAATTACAAGCGGCGTCTCTTTGCATCATTGCCTTCTTCCTTGTGCTCCTCAAAATCGAGCGGGGCGGTATCGGTGCCCTCGCCGCCGAGAAGCTTATCCATCTCGCCCTGAGCGATGACGGAGCGGACAAACTGGGGATTAGCGGCCTCCATTTTGCGAATCAAGTCCTGGAGCTTGGGGAGGTGTGAGGCGTCGAGGCCGAGCTTGCGGGGAGTTTCGGTGAGGTGGCGGAGGTCCTCGACCTCTCTGCGGAAGGCGTTCCTCTCTGCCTCGACGCGGTTGAGCCTAGACTCGAGCTCTGTCTGGTAGCGGAGGACCTTTGCGCGGGATGCGGCGGCCGAGGCGCGGTTTGCGCGCTCGCGCTCCTTCTGCTTGATGGCCTTGCCGACAATCTCCTTGGCGAGGCCCTCGTACTGCTGCTGGTCGTTGCGGATGGCGCACAGAGTCTGCTCTGCGATCTTCTCGCTCTTGACGCGGTTGAAGACCTCGTTGGCGGCGGTCATGGCCTCGCCGACCTCGACGAGGGCGGCCTCGTCGTGCGCGGGCTGGCGGTGCGCGAAGACGTTGGGGTCCTGCTTGAGCGCGGGCGGGACGAGGACGGGGGGCGCGAGGGCGGGCGGCGGCGGCTGCACGGCGGCCACGGCCTGCGCGGTGGCCAGGGCCGGGTTGGGGTCCAGCAGCGCGGCCGGGTCCTTGGGCGGCTCCTCGATGAGGTTGGGGACCTCGTTGACGGCCTGGTCCGCGTCGTCGGCCGGCTTGGACGTGTCTTGCACCATGGGGAGCGCGGGGGGGGAGGGGGGGGCTGGGGAGGGAAAAGGTGGAGGGGGCGAGGTAATACTGCGGGACGTGGTAAGCGGGGTTGGGCGGGTCGGCTACACTGTGCACGGTGTGACAGTTGTGTCGCGTGTCCAGCGCGCGAAAGCTGAAGGGAGTTGGGGGGGAGGGGGGGGGTATTTTATGCGCGGCGGAAGCGAGCGAGCTGTCGGTGAGGGGGGGTCGGCGAGCGTGTGGGAGCGTGTGAGCGTGTGAGCGTTGTGCAAGCGTGTGAGCGTTGTGCAAGCGTGTGAGCGTGTGAGCGTGTGAAGACGGGGCGCACGGGCTGGAGAGGCGTTGCAGCCATACTGTAGTGCTAGCCGCTGCCGCCGGTCCGTTCGGTCCCCACGCGGCGGCGGTCTCGGCCGCACAACCGGCGGGGCGGTCCCCCCCGCCCTTTTTTCTCACCACAACAATCAAAATTGTACACGTGCGCGGTCAAGACAGTACCCCGCTGTCAATGGGCCGCTGTTGATAGGCTACTGCGCGCCGCTGGGGCGGCTACTTGCCGCGCAGAGGTGGCCCCCTTTCCCCCGCTCGTTCCCCGATCGGCCTCGCCCCGTACACGAGACCCGGACACGTCGGCGGGCCCCCTCCTCCATCCCCCTCCTCCATCCCGTCCTCCATCCCCTCCCTCCTCCTCTCTCGCATCCCCGTGGGCCTTCTCCCATCGCATTATCATCTTTCTCACCGTATCATATCAGAGGCAGGCTATCCATGTATCCCAACTCCTGTACAAATTGGCAGTGCCAGATGTCACTCCGCCATTTGCACGCCAGATCCGCCTCCGATCCGTTCAAATAGAAAAAACTCCTCAGAGACGACGTTTCTGAGGAGTTTCTTCTTGCATTGTAGGCACTTCTCTGCTTGCCCGTCAGCCACGTGTAGCTACAAGTGACAACCGAGAATTTCAGCAATACAGTACAGTATGCAATTTCAGTGTAATGTTTTTTGCCGAATTGTTTTGCACATTTCTGCCGAATCCCGTCGCATAAACAAAAACAGTTTCGCAAAAATATGATACAACCTAATGACATGCGCGAACAAAAAAGCTCATTCCGCCAGCATCTTCTCTTCCTCAATGGGCAAACGCCAAGAAGCGACGCGGCCCGCGCCCGCGCCCGCGCCTTGCGGAGCGGACACCGCCCTCCTCTGCGCGGTCATCGTGCCTGTATACAACGCCGCCGCGTACCTGCGTCCGTGCCTGCTCTCTGTCCTGTCGCAGACGCACGTGCGCCTAGACCTCGTCGAGCTGTTGCTGTACGACGACGGGTCGACGGACGCCTCGTACGCCGTCGCGTGCTCGGTCGAGCCGGTGCTGTCGGCGGCCCTCGCGCGCGTGGTCCTCGCGCGCGGCGCGGAGGGCCCGCTGGGCGTGGGCGCGGCGCGGAACGCCGCGTGTGCCGCCTCCACGGCCCCCGTCCTCGTCTTCCTGGACGCCGACGACACCATGCGGCCCGCCCGCATCGCCCGCTCGCTGCGCGCCCTGCGCGCGCCGCGCCCGCCGCACGCCCCGCCCGTGCACATCGTCGGCGGCGTCTTTGACCGCGTCCCCGCGGGCTCCACGCCGCGCTACGAGGCATACCACCGCCGCCTCGCCACTGCAGACCTGTTTGTGCATGCCTTCCGGGACACCCCGCTCGCTATGCCCACCGTCGCTTGCCTCAGGCTTGTGTGGGAGACCGTCGGCGGCTTTGTCGAGGGCACGGCCGTGCCGGAGGACCTCCACTTCCTCTACTCTGCCATGAACGCCAACTTCAACATGCTCAAATTGCAGGGCCCTAGTCTCACTGCCTACCGCTTCCATCCCAACATGACTAGTCTATCGCTCCATCGTAGAACTCTCCTCCAAGTAAGAGTCAGTGCCTTTGAAGCATTAGTCTTGACAAAGACGAATTGGAAGGGAGGCTTTTCAATTTGGAATAGCGGCCGAGATGGGAAGGATGTATTCAAAACACTCACCGACTCCGCAAAGGCTATGGTCACCGCTTGGGGGGATATCGATCCAAGAAAGATAGGTAAATTGCAAAGGGATATACCCATTCTCCATTTCTCACACCTGCAACCACCGATAGCGTGCTGCGTCGCTCTAGATCGCCAGGGGAGGGAGTTTGAGGCTAATTTAGCATCTTTAAACCTCACACCGGGCCGCGATTACGTCCATCTCATCTAGAAAAACACCCATGTCTATAATCCGTCTCATGCAGCTCCTACCTCAGTCTCGGCTTCTTGCCCCGGTTCTGGAAATTCAAGAAGCGGATCCGTCCCGCCTCCAAAGAGCACTTCCTGTCCCACACGACTCGTAACGTACTCCTCAGTGGAGAGTAGATCAAAGCGCGCCACTGGTATCCCATCCCTATTGAATAGGAATTGTCCGTGGAAGTTCCAAATGATCTCCCCCGGATAGTGCTTGCAACCCAACGCAAACACTTGATTCCATTCAACGTCCGTCAATGCGAAAAGCTTGATCTTGTCCGAGTACGTCGTGTGCACATAGTTCTTGATCTCCTCAGCCTTGCCCCACTCCTTTTGACCAAACCAATTGCTCGGAAAGGCGAGAACATGAAACCCTGATTCACCGTACTTGTCAAGCAAACCCGCCATCATCTTGTACATCGGCTCGGTGTAGTCGTCAGATGAAGCAACATTCGATACGAACACGACATCTCCCTTGAGCTTTGAAAAGTCAAACATCTCAAAGTCGATGTCCGGAATTGGTTTTGCTTCGAACAGATTCTCTGGAATCTCAGGCTCTGGCGCGAATCCTCGCCGTACTCGTGCCGTAGGAACTGGTCTACTCGAATTTCTTGTTGATATGCGCTGCCGCCGTGGTGTGCATCGCTCTACAGAGCTTGGGTGTTGGGTTACAACACGGCCTGGCCATGCAGGTGTTACAAAAGCGCACATTGCAGCTCCGCGCATTCCTGGTAGGCCTTGTGTCGCCTTAGAACTCGCTTGTTGGACTTCTCCTTGCGTCAACTTAGATTCTGCTCGAGCGCACGGGAACAAATCTGTAACGCTCAAGTGACCACTTGAGCTCGGTACTGGCCTAGCGCGAAAATTTTAACGTCTGCAACGGAGGCGCAGCGCAATTAACTGCCGAACTCTCATTCAAATAATCCGGAGCTACGAGTTGAGCTCTAAATCCTTTCGGTTTTCACAATATATTTTCACAATATATATGATTTTTTTTTGATATTATCTCTTGATATATATGCCAGTGTGCTGGAAAGGGATCAAAACATGACCAGTCCCAACAGGACGCCCTTGTATTCCTTCTCTAGACGCAAGGACATAACCCCCCAGTCGCTTGCTATATGGGCAGAAAGCACTTGCCACGGGCACTTCTCTGGATACACGTCCATAGATGAAACTCACATGCTCTTTTGAACCCCTTTTCCCCGTTAAGCTCTTGATGAGCCGATATACATGTCTCCCGCCCCGTATTTTTGCAGCTGACTCCCTATAGCAGAATGCATGTTTTCTGAAAGTCATACTCATCCTAAAGACATATCAACTTTCTCCTTTAGTGCCTTTTAATAGACGCATAAATAAGAATACCACAGGTCCCACCTCCTTCGCCATCATCAGTAATGTTTCGGTTTGTTTCGAGGGGTTTATGTTTTGGTAGTCGGACCAAAGTGGACAACGTGAAGTGCCTTCGGGTTACATCTACTAGCAGTCAGGATCAGCGGCTTCATATGTCGATGCTTTTATCCTACCTGACGGAGATTCTCGAACAAATCCAAACCTTGAGCAGCGTGGAGAGCGACCGTACGAACACAAAGCCTCCCATTGTAGCTTTGAAACAAATCGGATCCCGAGTCTCCGAGCAAAGAAATAATCAGACATTGAAGGGCTCGGCAGCGAGATCTTTCACAATCGTGCATCTCAGGGAGGCCTGGGACTTCAGGGCCAAGAAATATGAGATCGCTAAACTCTAAAATTGTCGAAATAGACCTTTTCACGAGATGGTTCAGTGATCTTCGCTGTTACGTTCTCGTTTTACAGTCTAGTGTGACCATGCCGCGAGTTCTGGCCTTCACAAACTGTCAAAATAAAATCTCCGTACGAAGATTTTGGAAGCTGTTGAAATGAAAGGGTTTGCCCTTTGGCAGTGACGAATAAGTAGAAGTGGGGCATTGAGGCCTTCGCGCGCATTTTCTGGTGAGGAAATGCGAGGAAATGC